GATGTTGAATCTTGTCAAGACAGGATTTTTAGGGTCCTCATTCCTCAATGTCATGCAATATTACATCTCCATGGACCCAGTTCACAAAGTAGAGACAAGGATGGTCAAGAGTCACTGGCATTTCTCAAAGAATCCAATTTGGCACTTTCAGTGGCTTCACAGATATATTACCAGCTGCAGCAGTTAACAAGGAAGGGATTTTTTTTTTTTTTTTTTATAAGTTACACAATGGGATTGGGACCATCCTCTAACTTCGTATAACCCATCCTACAATTCATCTCATCTGCATATCAGGCCACTTCTATAATTCACCCAATCCACATATCATACTTCTTAAATTCAGGTCTTCTTGAAAGGTTATTACCAATTATCTACTTAGATTTTTGGCTAATAAGGAAGTTATTGTGCTTGTCTAGCCTAGAGACTTACAGAGCATGTATAACGTGTGAGAACATTTAGTTATTATGCTCCCATTTAGTTGATTTCTTCACCAGATGAATCACAAAGTAATTTTTGTACATACTTCACCATGGAAAAAAAACTCCTATTGTACATGGTTTAAGGAGGTAGAATTCAACCTGATTTAATTATTTATAAGAGAACAGAGATGGAACTTTTAACCATTGGTGGCTACTCTCTTATGGAGCTTGGTACATTTTGTTAAAAAAAAAGTTCAATTTCTATATTTTATTTCCCAAAAATGCAGCATCTTAATTCAGCTCCAATGTCAGGTACTGCAGCATTTTTTAGTCAAAGCTATTGGATCAAAGGCTTATCTTATTATAAAAAAAAGATTCTGTTCAAAATTTTTTTATTTAAATATATTAAATGTGAATTTTAATTCAATTCCGAATTTTTTATTTTAATATATTAAATATGAATTAAACAAATAAAATAACATTAATAAGACATTTTAGGAAACTTGTATGAGGTGTTCTGTTAAAGTATTCAATTTATGACTTAAATATATAAAAATAGTGGATTACATATCAGTTGCAGTAATGATGCATATAAGCTTTTTCATTTTTCCCATTTCACATGCTCTCTTACATGTGTGCACATTCTGAAGCAATTTGTCCTAAAGTTCATTTCTACAAAAATTTAATTTTAGATTTTCTTCTAGAACCGTTGGAAACAATTTTATTAATTTCATAAAATAACATTATACTTCGGTAGGGAATTACAATTACTTGTAAAGATTGGCTATTTCTTCCTTGTATTGAGCTGCTACTCTATCCCTTCTGATCTTCATTGTTGGAGTCATTAAACCACTTTCTATCTGCAAACAAAAATGGTATGATCAAGTCTTAACTACCAATGAAGATATTATTGAATTTGGCTCAGGACACACCGAAAAACTAAATGTATACCGTAAAAGGTTCATCCACAACAAGGATTGGTCCAATTTGAAACGAGCAATCTGATGTCCTGCATCAAACA